TCTTCCCGTTCCTGTTGGGATGGGACAGAGATTTCCTTGGGATCACGGAGACTGAGCACCAAAATCCTGGGAATCTTGGAATTCTGGAATCCTGGGAATCCTGGAATACTGGGAATTATGGGGATCCTGGGAATCTGGGAATCCTGGAATCTGGGAATTCTGGAATCCTGGGAATCCTGGGAATTCTGGAATTCTGTGAATCCTGGGAATTTTGTGAATCCTGGGAATTCTGGGAATCCTGGAATTCTGGGAATTCTGTATTCCTGGGAACCCCTGGGGGCATCCTCAGGGCTGGAGGGGGTCAGGAGCCTCCCCTGGACCTGAATCCCGAAAATCCTGGGAATCTGAGCTGGGGGAAGCAGCAGGGACCCCCAAAACAACGCTCCAATTAATTATCCCAAATAATTCATTAATGAGGGAATTTGGGCTCAGGCCGTGTGGGGCTGTGTGAGGGAGGGGCTGGAATAACGTGGGGTACTGGGGGAGATGGGAACTGGGAACTGGGAATTGGGAATTGGGAATTGGGAATTATTAATTTTCCCAAGTTTTCCCAAATCAAACAGATCCAGCTCTTCCCGTTCCTGTTGGGATGGGACAGAGATTTCCTTGGGATCACGGAGACTGAGCACCAAAATCCTGGGAATCTTGGAATTCTGGAATCCTGGGAATCCTGGAATACTGGGAATTATGGGAATCCTGGGAATCTGGGAATCCTGGAATCTGGGAATTCTGGAATCCTGGGAATCCTGGGAATTCTGGAATTCTGGGAATCCTGGGAATTCTGTGAATCCTGGGAATTCTGGGAATCCTGGAATTCTGGGAATTCTGTATTCCTGGGAACCCCTGGGGGCATCCTCAGGGCTGGAGGGGGTCAGGAGCCTCCCCTGGACCTGAATCCCGAAAATCCTGGGAATCTGAGCTGGGGGAAGCAGCAGGGACCCCCAAAACAACGCTCCAATTAATTATCCCAAATAATTCATTAATGAGGGAATTTGGGCTCAGGCCGTGTGGGGCTGTGTGAGGGAGGGGCTGGAATAACGTGGGGTACTGGGGGAGATGGGAACTGGGAACTGGGAATTGGGAATTGGGAATTGGGAATTGGGAACTGGGAATGAACTGGGAATTGGGAATTGGGAACTGGGAATTAACTGGGAATTAGGAATTAACTGGGAATTAACTGGGAATTGAGAATTCACTGGGAATTGGGACCTGGGAACTGGGAATTAACTGGGAATTAACTGGGAATTAACTGGGAATTGGGAATTGGGAACTGGGAATTGGGAACTGGGAACTGGGAATGAACTGGGAGTTGGGAACTGGGAGCAGGGACATTCCTGGGGACTGCAGGTGACACTGGGTGTGTCCCTCCCTGTCCCTCCCTGTCCCCCCAGGACGCTCTCCGGGCTCTCGGCTGACCGCCCCCCCTGGCCAGGCCATCGGGCCACCCTCGGGCCACCAGCAGTGACAAGGACCTGAGCGCAGCGCTGCCACCGCCTGTCCCCGTGTCCCCAAGAGACCCCGCCCGAGGACGGCGCCTGGTGAGGAATTCCTGGGACCTGCAATTGTCACCTTCCCCCTTTCCCACTGTCCCAAGGTGTCACCTGCCCCTTTCCCTCTGTCCCAAGGTGTCACCTGCCCCCTTTTCCCGCTGTCCCAAGGTGTCACCTGCCCCTTTCCCTCTGTCCCAAGGTGTCACCTGCCCCCTTTCCTGCTGTCCCAAGGTGCCACCAGCCCCCTTTCCCTGTGTCCCAAGGTGTCACCTGCCCCTTTCCCTCTGTCCCAAGGTGTCACCAGCCCCCTTTCCCTGTGTCCCAAGGTGTCACCTGCCCCCTTTTCCCGCTGTCCCAAGGTGCCACCAGCCCCTCAAAGCCACCCTGACCCCACATTCCCGCCTGTCCCTTTGCTGGAATGTCCCCAAGCCGGGATGGGGACAGCGGGGTGGCTTTGGGATGGTGGGGACGTGTCACCCCTCACTCCTGCCTGTCCCTGGGCTGGCACGGGGCTCACCCGCTGTGTCCCCGTCGCTGTGACCCGAGGGGACATCGGGAGCTCCGGGCGGAGCCGAGGCTGGGCCGGACCCCGGAATTCCCACCGGGATTGATTCATCCCCCCAACCAGCACCACAGGGTCCCACCTGGGCCAGGTGACAGCCAGGTGACAGTGCGGGGTCTGCAAGGACACGGAGCCACCCGGGGGAGGGAGAAATTCCAGAACATTCTGAGCGCTGGGAGCTCCAGCCTGTCCCAGCCTGGCCCGGGGTCTGAGGGGGGGTTTGTCCCTTTTTCCTGCAGGATCCCCCAGGCCCTGCAAAACTCCCTGTCCAGGCCCAAAATTTGGAGATTTCTGTCCCAAAAATTGGAGATTTCTGTCCTAAAATATTGGTGTTTCTGTCCCAAAAAAATGGAGATTTCTGTCCCAAAAAATGGAGATTTCTTCTCCCAGCCCCACAGAGGGAGGTGAGGGGGGTCCTGATGGCCCAGAGGGGACAATCGCTGTCCCTTTAGGGCTGAAGGGTGGGGACAGGGACAGGGACAGGGACAGCGACAGGGATGTCCCACCTGAGCCTCAATCCCTTTTCCTCTCCTCATTCCCATCCTGGACCTGGGAACCGGCTCTGATCCCTCTTCCTTTGGGTCACCCTGATGGGGACAGGTTGGGGACAGACTGGGGACAGCTTGGGGACAGGTTTGGGACAGGTCCTAAAATATTGGTGTTTCTGTCCCAAAAAAATGGAGATTTCTGTCCCAAAAAATGGAGATTTCTTCTCCCAGCCCCACAGAGGGAGGTGAGGGGGGTCCTGATGGCCCAGAGGGGACAATCGCTGTCCCTTTAGGGCTGAAGGGTGGGGACAGGGACAGGGACAGGGACAGGGACAGCGACAGGGATGTCCCACCTGAGCCTCAATCCCTTTTCCTCTCCTCATTCCCATCCTGGACCTGGGAACCGGCTCTGATCCCTCTTCCTTTGGGTCACCCTGATGGGGACAGGTTGGGGACAGACTGGGGACAGCTTGGGGACAGGTTTGGGACAGGAGGGACAGGTTGGGGGACAGGTTGGGGACAGGTGGGACAGAGCCAGGTTGCCCCAGCTCCCCCAGGTCCCCCCTGAGCCTCATTCCAGCCCCACAATTCCCATTTTTTCCATCTTTTAACCGAATTTCGAGGCAAGCCCACAGCTCCAGCAGGCAGAACTCGGCAGAGTTTGGTGACACCAGCTCTGTCCCCTCCACAGTGGACGCCTCTAAAATGCCACCAAACCTTTCTGTGCCACAAGAGCCAGCACAAACCTCAGCAGGGACACCCCCAAAACCCCCGACCCCTCCCACCTCCAAATATTGAGCTATACATTAAATTAAGAGTGAGGAAAAAAAATTAAAAAAAATTTAAATAAATAAAATCAATAAAATCAATAAAAGGAGGGAAAAGGCAGCACGTCGGAGGGGAAGCGTGGCAGTTTGTTATGCTAACCGAGGGGGGCTCCGCTCGGGGGGACGAGTCGGAGAGGTCTGAAGAGCAAGGAGTTCACAGGCCCTCTCCTTTTGTCATGCTAAAAGTGCAACACAGAAAATATATACAGGCAGCTGCTCAATGGAGCGTGAAATACGAGTGATTTCTCCGCCGGCCCCGGGTAATGCGATGCAGCCCCGGGACAATGCCCGGCCGCCGCCTTTGTGCGCCACGGGAAACTTGGATTTTATTTTATTTTTGTCTTTTTTTTTTTGTTTGTTTTAGGGGGTTGGGACGAACGGAGGTGGGAAGCGCCCCGGTGCCGGTGCGATGGAGCGCGGCTCGGCGAGGTCACCCCGGCTGGGATGGAGATGTCGCCTCCGGGAGAGTTTTGGGGACGTTTGGGGACGTTCGGGGCGCCGTGAATCGGCGGAGTCCCGCGGCGGGCGCTGCCTTTGCTGATGCTAATCGGGAGCGGTGTAAAATCAGCGCTCAAAGCCGCCTTTGTGTGCCCGGGGGTGCTCCGAGCATCCATCTTCCACCTTCCCCTCGGCGTTTTGAGCTGAAAGCGGCGCCGCGGGGGCTCCGAGGGACCGAGCTGCCGCTTTGGGCAGCGCCAGTGTCAAACCTGGGGCGTTCTGGGGGGTTTTGGGGGGCTCAGGGCATGGAGGCAGCGAAGGTGATGGAGCAGGAGGCTTCCCCGGGCTGAGGCATTTTGGGGGAATTTGGGGGATTTTTGGCACCGCACCCCGTCGGTGGAGAGGGGGGCACAGCGGGGGATGCCCAGGGGAGGGGTTTGGGGGGTCACCCCCCCAAAGCCGGGTACCCCGAGCCCTCGGGGGATGCTCCGGGCGCGGGCGGAAGCGACATCTAGCGGGAAGCGCATCCCGTCGCCAGGGAGATCGATATCCATGGCAACCCTCGGGAACGGCGGCCCGCCTGGACCAGGGGCACGGCCGGGCCCGCGGGACCCGGCACGGGCCGGGATGGCCCGAGCCCCGCCGCCGTGGGTCCTGGCACGGGGTGTGGGTGGTCAGACTGGGGTGTGGGGGATCAAACTGGGGTTTTGTTCCTGGCACTGGGATTTGGATCCTGGCGCTGGGATTTGGATCCTGGCACTGGGATGTGGGTGGTGGAACTGAGATTTCGTTCTATTCCTCATTATGCTGCTCTGCTTTGGTTGGTAATAAATTAAATTAATTTCCTCCAGTCGAGTCTGGTTTGTACGGGTCAGCTGAGGAGGGGCAGCACGGAGCTGCTTCGGTGGCTCCCTGGCGTTTGCCCAGGGCTAGCCCAGGGCGGGGATGAGAGAAGAGAGGCGGATTTGATTTATTATCGATATTATCGACGATATCGACATCCCGTGTGGGCTCGGCCCCGCAGGGACTCGAACCCGGGCCCCGCCGGGACTCGAACCCGCCGCCCCGGAACCGCGCGCCGCGCAGAGCCCGCCCCTCCTAAATCCGCCCTCTCATTGGTTAATAATGTGCCAATCAAAAACAAAGCAGTCGCGGATTGGTTGATTAGAGGGGCGTGGTCACGGGGGCGTGACAGCGGGCGGGCTTCCTGCGGGCGCCTTTGCGCTGACCCCCGGCATGGTGGGCACGGACCGGGCCGGGATGGACCGGGAATGGACCGGGATGGACCGGGAATAGACCGAGAATGGACCGGGGATGGACCGGGGATGGACCGGGAATGGACCGGGAATGGACCGGGGATGGACCGGGGATGGACCGGGAATGGACCGGGATGGACCGGGAATGGACCGGGAATGGACCGGGAATGGACGGGGGATGGACCGGGGAGGGACCGGGAATGGACCGGGAATGGACCGGGAGTTCTGAGCGGGGGTGCATGGCCAGGCTGCCCGGGGGTCCCAAGGTTCGGCACGGCCGGGGGGTCCCGGGGTGACCGTGGCCAGGGGTCCCTGCCCGGCCGGGGGTCCCAGAGGGTCCCTGCAGTGCCCCCCTGCTTCCCGGAGGGTCCCAGCCCGGTGGCTTCACACGGGGGTGTCCCAGCGAGTGTCACCCCGGGGTGTCCCCAGCAGGGACAGAGCAGGGCACAGCCCCGCGGCTGGCTCTGCAGGGCTGTCCCCAGGTGTCCCCAGCCCAGGTGACCCCCGGCTGTCCCCGCAGGCGGTGATGGGGGTGCAGGTGGTGGTGACCCTGCTGGCCGCCAGCCTGATGCACAGGATGGCCCCGCACTGCTCCTTCGCCCGCTGGCTGCTCTGCAACGGCAGGTACGGCCCTGTCCCTGTCCCTGTCCCTGTCCCCTGCGGCTCCTGGGGACATCCCAGGTCCTGTCACCCCCCTGTCCCCCAGCCTGTACAGGTACAAGCACCCCTCGGACGAGGAGCTCTGCGCCCTGGCCGGGAAGCAGCGCCCCAAGAGCAGGAGGGACAGGTCAGCGTCACCTGGGGCTGGCAACGGGACGTGTCACCCCTGGGGACAGCGGGAGCCGCCCCGGGGTGACACAGGGGACGAGCCAGCCCTTGGGTTTCCCTGCAGGAGGGCCAGCGGGGTGGCAGAGGACAAACCCCTGTCCGTGCCCCGCGACATCGAGCTGCAGCTGGACACCAGCCCCATCACGGCCGTGGACGCGCTGGGTAACGCCCTGGGGGTGCTGGGGTGTCCCCAGTGCGGTGACAGGCGTGTCCCCAGCATGGTGGTGTGTCCCCAGCACAGTGACAGACGTGTCCCCAGCACGGTGATGTGTTCCCAGTGCGGTGACAGGCGTGTTCCCAGTGTGGTGGCATGTCCCCAGCACAGTGACACACGTGTCCCCAGCGCGGTGACACGTCCCCAGCGTGGTGACACGTCCCCAGCGCGGTCACACATCCCCAGCACGGTGACACACGTGTCCCCAGCGCGGTGACGTGTCCCCGCGCCCCCAGTGCTGCGCTATTTCCCGGAGTACCAGTGGTTCGTGGATTTCTCCGTCTACGCCGGCGCCGTGTACGTGTTCAGCGAGGGCTACTTCAGCCTGGCCAGCGCCGGCAGGGAGACCAACCTGGGCGTGCTCTGGAGCCTGCTCACCGTGCTCTTCTCCGTGTATCCTCCCTCCCGGGCCGGGCACCACGGGGGTTTGCCCTCCCTGCTGAGGCCTAAAGCTGAATTTTGTGGGTTATTTCTGACTTCTGCAGGTTTGCCCTCCCTGCTGAGGTGTAAAACTGAATTTTGTGGGTTATTTCTGAGTTCTGCAGGTTTCCCACCCAGGTGAGGTGTAAAACTGAATTTTGTTTCTGAGTTCTGCAGGTTTTCCCTCCCAGGTGAGGCCTAAAGCTGAATTTTGTGGGTTATTTCTGACTTCTGCAGGTTTGCCCTCCCTGCTGAGGTGTAAAACTGAATTTTGTGGGTTATTTCTGAGTTCTGCAGGCTCCCCGCAGAGGAGCTGGTGGTGGCCCCGTGGCGGAGACGTTCAGGGGGTGGGCAGCGGGTTGGGGTCCCCTGGTGTCCCCAGTTTCCTTGACAGCTGTCCCCAACGCCCAGCAAGGTTTTCTTCACGGTGATGCGTCACTATTTCCGCTCGGAGGAGGGCGGGGAGCGCTCCGTGTGCCTCAGCGCCGCCTTCTTCTTCCTCCTGCTCGCCATGCTGGCCCTGGTGGTGCGCGAGGAGTACCTGGAGTTCGGCCTCGAGGCCGGTGGGTGACGGGGACAGATGGACCGGGGATGGATCGGGGATGGACCGGAATGGACCGGGAATAGACCGGGGATGGACCGGGGATGGACCGGGAGTTCTGAGCGGGGGGTGCATGGCCAGGCTGCCCGGGGGTCCCAAGGTTCGGCACGGCCGGGGGGTCCCGGGGTGACCGTGGCCAGGGGTCCCTGCCCGGCCGGGGGTCCCAGAGGGTCCCTGCAGTGCCCCCCTGCTTCCCGGAGGGTCCCAGCCCGGTGGCTTCACACGGGGGTGTCCCAGCGAGTGTCACCCCGGGGTGTCCCCAGCAGGGACAGAGCAGGGCACAGCCCCGCGGCTGGCTCTGCAGGGCTGTCCCCAGGTGTCCCCAGCCCCGGTGACCCCCGGGGTGTCCCCAGCAGGGACAGAGCAGGGCACAGCCCCGCGGCTGGCTCTGCAGGGCTGTCCCCAGGTGTCCCCAGCCCCGGTGACCCCCGGCTGTCCCCGCAGGCGGTGATGGGGGTGCAGGTGGTGGTGACCCTGCTGGCCGCCAGCCTGATGCACAGGATGGCCCCGCACTGCTCCTTCGCCCGCTGGCTGCTCTGCAACGGCAGGTACGGCCCTGTCCCTGTCCCTGTCCCTGTCCCCTGCGGCTCCTGGGGACATCCCAGGTCCTGTCACCCCCCTGTCCCCCAGCCTGTACAGGTACAAGCACCCCTCGGACGAGGAGCTCTGCGCCCTGGCCGGGAAGCAGCGCCCCAAGAGCAGGAGGGACAGGTCAGCGTCACCTGGGGCTGGCAACGGGACGTGTCACCCCTGGGGACAGCGGGAGCCGCCCCGGGGTGACACAGGGGACGAGCCAGCCCTTGGGTTTCCCTGCAGGAGGGCCAGCGGGGTGGCAGAGGACAAACCCCTGTCCGTGCCCCGCGACATCGAGCTGCAGCTGGACACCAGCCCCATCACGGCCGTGGACGCGCTGGGTAACGCCCTGGGGGTGCTGGGGTGTCCCCAGTGCGGTGACAGGCGTGTTCCCAGTGTGTTGATGTGTCCCCAGTGTGGTGACAGACGTGTCCCCAGCACGGTGACATGTCCCCAGTGTGGTGGCGTGTCCCCAGTGCGGTTTGACATACGTGTCCCCAGCGCGGTGACAGGCGTGTTCCCAGTGTGTTGATGTGTCCCCAGTGTGGTGACAGACGTGTCCCCAGCACGGTGACATGTCCCCAGCATGGTGGCTTGTCCCCAGCACTGTGACAGACGTGTCCCCAGTGTGGTGGCGTGTCCCCAGTGCGGTGACAGGCGTGTCCCCAGCATGGTGGTGTGTCCCCAGTGTGGTGACAGGCGTGTCCCCAGCACGGTGACATGTCCCCAGCATGGTGGTGTGTCCCCAGCACAGTGACAGACGTGTCCCCAGCACGGTGATGTGTTCCCAGTGCGGTGACAGGCGTGTTCCCAGTGTGGTGGCATGTCCCCAGCACAGTGACATACATGTCCCCAGCACGGTCACACGTCCCCAGTGCAGTAACATGTCCCCAGCGCAGTGACAGACATGTCCCTAGCACGGCGGTGTGTCCCCAGCACGGTCACACGTCCCCAGCACGGTCACACGTCCCCAGCACAGTGACAGACATGTCCCCAGCGCGGTGACACGTCCCCAGCACGTTGACATACGTGTCCCCAGTGTGGTGGCGTGTCCCCAGTGCGGTGACAGGCGTGTCCCCAGCATGGTGGTGTGTCCCCAGTGTGGTGACAGGCGTGTCCCCAGCACGGTGACATGTCCCCAGCATGGTGGTGTGTCCCCAGCACAGTGACAGACGTGTCCCCAGCACGGTCACACGTCCCCAGCACAGTGACAGACATGTCCCCAGCGCGGTGACAGACGTGTCCCCAGCACGGTGATGTGTTCCCAGTGCGGTGACAGGCGTGTTCCCAGTGTGGTGGCATGTCCCCAGCACAGTGACATACATGTCCCCAGCACGGTCACACGTCCCCAGCACAGTGACAGACATGTCCCCAGCGCGGTGACACGTCCCCAGCGCGGTCACACATCCCCAGCACGGTGACACACGTGTCCCCAGCGCGGTGACGTGTCCCCGCGCCCCCAGTGCTGCGCTATTTCCCGGAGTACCAGTGGTTCGTGGATTTCTCCGTCTACGCCGGCGCCGTGTACGTGTTCAGCGAGGGCTACTTCAGCCTGGCCAGCGCCGGCAGGGAGACCAACCTGGGCGTGCTCTGGAGCCTGCTCACCGTGCTCTTCTCCGTGTATCCTCCCTCCCGGGCCGGGCACCACGGGGGTTTGCCCTCCCTGCTGAGGCCTAAAGCTGAATTTTGTGGGTTATTTCTGACTTCTGCAGGTTTTCCCTCCCTGCTGAGGTGTAAAACTGAATTTTGTGGGTTGTTTCTGAGTTCTGCTGGTTTTCCCTCCCTGCTGAGGTGTAAAACTGAATTTTGTGGGTTATTTCTGAGTTCTGCAGGTTTCCCACCCAGGTGAGGTGTAAAACTGAATTTTGTTTCTGAGTTCTGCAGGTTTTCCCTCCCAGGTGAGGCCTAAAACTCAATTTTGTGGGTTGTTTCTGAGTTCTGCAGGTTTTCCCTCCCAGGTGAGGCCTAAAGCTGAATTTTGTGGGTTATTTCTGAGTTCTGCAGGCTCCCCGCAGAGGAGCTGGTGGTGGCCCCGTGGCGGAGACGTTCAGGGGGTGGGCAGCGGGTTGGGGTCCCCTGGTGTCCCCAGTTTCCTTGACAGCTGTCCCCAACGCCCAGCAAGGTTTTCTTCACGGTGATGCGTCACTATTTCCGCTCGGAGGAGGGCGGGGAGCGCTCCGTGTGCCTCAGCGCCGCCTTCTTCTTCCTCCTGCTCGCCATGCTGGCCCTGGTGGTGCGCGAGGAGTACCTGGAGTTCGGCCTCGAGGCCGGTGGGTGACGGGGACAGGGGAGGGACCCCAGTCGGGGGGGTCACACCACTCCCAGGGTCACTCCCAGGGGTCACTCCACACTCATGGGGGTCACTCCCCACTCCCAGGGGTCACTCCACACTCATGGGGGTCACTCCCCACTCCCAGGGGTCACTCCTTGCACATTGGTCACTCCACACTCATGGGGATCACTCCCCACTCCTAGGGGTCACTCCTTGCACATTGGTCACTCCACACTCATTGGGGTCACTCCCCACTCATGGGGGTCACTCCCCACTCCCAGGGGTCACTCCCCACTCCTAGGGGTCACTCCACACTCATTGGTCACTCCCCACTCCCAAGGGTCACTCCCCACTCCCAGGGGTCACTCCACACTCATTGGTCTCTTCCTACTCTTAGGGGTCACTTCCCACTCCCAGTGGTCACTCCCCTGTGGTCACTCCCCCACTGGTCACTCCTCACTCCCCCTTTGGTCATTCCCCTGGTCTCTCCCCCCTGGTCACTCCCCTGGTCACTCCCTGGTCACTCCTCACTCCCCTGGTCACTCCCCAATGGTCGCTCCATGGTCACTCCCTGGCCACTCCCCTGGTCACTCCCCTGGTCACTCCCCCCAGTTACTCCTCCCTGGTCACTCCCTTTTTGGTCACTCCCCGGTCACTCCCCTGGTCACTCTGCAATGGTCGCTCCATGGTCACTCCCTGGTCACTCCTCTGTGGTCACTCCCCTGTGGTCACTCCCTGGTCACTCCCCAGTCACTCCCCAGCGGTCACTCCCTGGTCACTCCCCTGTGGTCACTCCCCAGTGGTCACTCCCTGGTCACTCCCTGGTCACTCCCCAGTGGTCACTCCCTGGTCACTCCCCAGTCACTCCCCAGTGGTCACTCCCCTGTGGTCACTCCCCAGTCACTCCCCAGTGGTCACTCCCCAGTGGTCACTCCCTGGTCACTCCCTGGTCACTCCCCTGTGGTCACTCCGTGGTCACTCCCCAGTGGTCACTCCCTGGTCACTCCCGCAGGCCTGGCCGGAGTCTCCTCTAACCTGGAGCCCATCCTGAAGCCCCGGGGCTGGGAGTGGACGTGAGTCGGTGCCGGGGGGACCACTCCCTTTTTTTGGGGACGTTTTGGGAGGCTGGGGGAGGAGCGGTGCCAGCAGCCCCCGCTGTCCCCGTGTCCCCAGGCTGCCGCTGGCCAGGCTGGCCTTCAGGCTGGGGCTGGCGGCGCTCTGCTCCTTCCTGGGGGCCTGCCTGACCTTCCCGGGGCTGCGCCTGGCTCAGACACACCTGGACGCGCTCAGCATGGCAGCCGGCAAACCCCTGACACAGTGCGTGTGCCGGGGGACAGCGGGGACAGCGGGGACAGTGGGGACACCTGGGGACACCTGGGGATAGCGGGGACAGCGGGGACAGCGGGGGACAACGGGGACAGCGGGGACAGCGGGGACAGCGGGGGACAGTGGGGACACCTGGGGATAGCGGGGACAGCGGGGGACAGTGGGAGATACGTGGGGACATCTAGGGACAGCTGGGGACAGTGGGGGACAGCTGGGACACCTGGGGACAGCAGGGGACATCTAGGGACAGTGGGGGACAGCTGGGGGGCGCAATGGGGGACAACAGGGGACACCTGGGAACAGTGGGTGATACCTGGGAACACCTGGGGACAGCGGGGAGGACAATGGGAGACAGCTGGGGATACCTGGGGACAGTGGGGGACACCTGGGGACACCTGGTGATACCTGGGAGCACCTGGGGACAATTGAGGGCACAATGGGGGACACCTGGAGACAGTGGGGGACACCTGGAAACAGCAGGGGACACAACGGGGGACACCTGGGGAGGGAGGAAGGGAGGGAGGGCTGGGTGCTAGGACCCCCAGCTCTGGGGGAGGTTTGGGGTGGGAGGTTTGGGGTCTGGGGTCGGTGACGTCCCTTTAAGGGTCCTGCTGCACGTGGGGTCTCTGTGGGGTCTCTCTGGGGTCTCTCTGGGGTCTCTGGGGTCGGTGACAGTCCCTTCCAGGGTCCTGCTGCACGTGGGGTTCGTGGCTCCCGTGTCTGGGGTCTTGCTGGGGGCTCGGCCGCCGTTCCCAGTCCCTTCCAGGGTCCTGCTGCACGTGGGGTCTCTGTGGGGTCTCTCTGGGGTCTCTCTGGGGTCTCTGGGGTCGGTGACAGTCCCTTCCAGGGTCCTGCTGCACGTGGGGTTCGTGGCTCCCGTGCTCGTGGTGCTGCTGTGGGTCCGGCCGCTGTCCCGGGATTTCCTGCTCCAGGCCCCGCTGGGCAAGGAGACGGTGCAGATGTGAGTGGCACAGCTGGGGACATCCCCCGTGACCCCCGGGTGACCCCCGTGACCCCCGGGACAGCGTCCCCACAATAACCCCTTGTAACACCCAGTGTCCCCCAGTAGCTCCTCAGTGTCCCCTGTGACCCTCTGTGGATGAGAGGGTTCCTGTCCCCAGCCCCGTGTCCCCTGTCCCCTGTGGGTCAGGAGTTCCTGTCCCCAACCCAGTGCCATCCCCTGTCCCCTGCAGCCTGTGGATCAGGGGTTCCTGTCCCCAGCCCTGTCCCCAGCCCGGTGCCAGCCTGTGTCCCCTGTGGATCAGGGGTTCCTGTCCCCAGCCCCCTGTCCCCAGCCCGGTGCCAGCCCGTGTCCCCTGTGCCCCTAGCCTGTCGGACTCGTCCTTTGACACGCTGCGGCTCTGGGCCGTGGTGGCGCTGTCGCTGCTGCGCCTGCTGGGGACGCGCCACCACCTGCAGGCGTACCTGGGGCTGGCCGAGCGCTGGGTGCGCCGCATGCGGCGGCAGGCGGGGCGGATCCCGGCCCGAGAGATCCAGCAGCAGGTCGGGACCGGGAGCGGGAGCGGGAACGGGAACGGGAACGGGAATGGGAATGGGAACGGGAACAGGAACGAGAATAGGAACGGGAACGGGAATGGGAATGGGAACGGGAACGGGAATGGGAATGGGGAATGGGGACGGGAATGGGAATGGGAACGGGAACGGGGATGGGAACGGGAGCGGGAACGGGGATGGGAACGGGAGCGGGAACGGGAATGGGGAATGGGGAATGGGGAATGGGGAATGGGGAATGGGAATGGGGACGGGATTGGGAATGGGGAATGGGTACAGGATAGGGATCAGGACCATCGGGATCGGGACCAGGATCAGGAATGGGAACGGGGTCAGGATCAAGATCGGGGTCAGGATTGGGATCAGGAACAGGAACGGGATGGGGGTTGGGATTGGGATGGGGATTGGGATTGGGGCATTGGAGATTCCCAGAATTCCCAACGGGGATTCCTGCTGGGCATTCCTGGATTCCCGCAGATCACCAGGATTTACTGCTACGTGTCCGTGGTGAGCCTGCAGTACCTGGGGCCCGTGATCCTGACGCTGCACTGCGCCCTGCTGCTCAAGACGCTGGGTGAGGAGGGGCTCGGGGGGCTTCGGGGTCAGCAGGAGGCCACCGGTACCCGAACTGTCCCCAGCTGTCACAGCCCCAGCTCAGGATGTCCCGTGGTTCTGTCCCCTGGTTCTGTTCTGGTTTGCAGTGGGGACAAACTCAGTGCTGGGAGTTTGGGGCACGGGGACATGCCAAACCTGTCCCCTGTGTCCCACAGAGACCCCCAGAGCTGTCCCCCGTGTCCCTCAGAGCCCCCCAGAGCTGTCCCCCGTGTCCCTCAGAGACCCCCCCAGAGCTGTCCCCTGTGTCCCACAGGTCACCACTCCTGGGGGCTGTACCCCGAGTCCCCCGCCGTGTCCCCAGCAGCACCGGTGGCCCTGCCACGCCCCGAGGGTGATGGGGATGTGCAGGTGGTGGTGCAGGAGATCTCGGGGGTCCTGGGCTGCATCTTCACCCCCCCCTTCTTCCGAGGACTCTTCTCCTTCCTCACCTGGTGGGTGGCCGCCTGCCAGGTTGTCACCAGCCTCTTCGGCCTCTACTTCCACCAGTACCTGGCAGCATCCTGACTGGGAGGGACTGGGAGGGACTGGGAGGACTGGAGGGACTGGGTGCTGCTGCCTTGCCTGGTTGTGCCACTTTGAGGACACACGTGGGGACATTGGTGCCACCAGGACGGGTTTTGTGTCACCGCTGTGCCTGCCCCCTGTGGGGACACTCCAGTGCTGCCTTATCCTGGAGGGCAGCGGCTCCTGGCATGCTGGGGACACGGTGGGGACATCCAGGAGTGGCAGCTGGAGTGGCCAGCAGAGATTTCGGGGTGTTCTCAGCTGAGGCTGAGGGGTTTTTGTGGGGTCTCTGCACCCCCTGTGCTCCGTGTGACCCCTCAGGCCCAGCAGCCTCGGGGGTGGCTGCTCCACAATAAACCAGTGACACCAATGTTCTTGTCACCCAAAAGCTGCTCTTGGTGTCCCCAACCCCCTGAGCAGGTGTCACAGTGCTGCTTGAAGCACCACCTGGGAGGAGCAGACCTCAGCTCACCTGTCCTGTCCCTGGGGTCACCTGGGGCTGGTGACACTGGGGGTGGGGACAGGGCTGGGGTCCCTTTGCTGTCCCTGGGGTCACCCGGGGCTGGTGACACTGGGGGTGGGGCAGGGCCGGGGTCCCACGGGGTGGGTGCTGCTGCAGCTGTGTGAAACGGGATTAGCAGGTCCGGGCTGCCGGGAGAAAGGGCCGGGGCTCTGATCCTGTTTGATTGCCTTGTAATGGTCTTAATTCCCTCTCGTCGAGCCCGGGAGGAGCGGCAGCGCTGGGCTGGGGTTAACTGGGCTAATCCAGCTCCTCCTCCGCCTCCTCCTCCTCCTCCTCCTCCTCCTGCTTCCCGGGAATCCTCGCCGTGGATGTTTGAGGGAAAAAAAATAAGAAAAAAAAGAGGGGAAATTCCCATTTTGCAAGTGGGGAATCCAAAGCCCAGCCCAGTGGGAAATGGGGCATCCAAAGCCCAGTTCAGCGGGAAATGGGGAGCCCAAAGCCCAGCCCAGAGGGAGATGGGAACCCAAAGCCCAGCCCAGCCCGGCCCAGCGGGGATTTGGGCGCTGCCCCCCAGCAGGTTGGGAGGTGTCCCCGCAGGGTTTGGGACGCGGGGCTGTCCCCAGCAGGGGTGGCGCTGCCCCGCTGTCCCGTTTGTCGCTGTCGCGTTGCTAGGGCCGGGTTGCGGCGGAGGCAGACACGCAGACGGAGCCTCCCCGGGGAGCTGCCCAGACGGGTGACCCTGCCCGGCGGCGACAGTGACAGATCGAGCAGCCGGCAGCGCAGACACGGCCGCGGGCACCGAGGGGCCGCTCCCTGCCCTGCCGCCGGGCGGGGGTCGGGGGCTCCGGCGGGGGCTGCCACAGGGGGACGGGGGGACACGGAGGTTTTGTTGGCCCGGTTCGGATCCGGGAGGTCCTGGGGGGATCTCACAGCTGGGGGGGCTCGTCCTGGAAGGGAGGGATGGGGGGAGTCCTTTCCCACCCCATTTCCACCCCAAATGGGATCCCTGGCGGGGAGGGGTGTGGGGAATCCTTTCCCACCCCATTTCCATCCCAAAATTCCCTGGCAGGGATCTCTTCCAGGAAGGGATGCAGGGAATCCTTTCCCATCCAACTTCATTCCAAATGGGATCCTTGATAGGGAATCCTTTCCCACCCCATTTCCACCCCAAAATTCCCCGGCAGGGATTCCTGACAGAGAGGGATGCAGGGAATCCTTTCCCATCCAACTTTATTCCAAATGGGATCCTTGACAGGCAACCTTTTTCCACCCCATTTCCATCCCAAAATTCCCTGGCAGGGATCTCTTCCAGGAAGGGATGCAGGGAATCCTTTCCCATCCAACTTTATTCCAAATGGGATCCTTGACAGAGAACCTTTTCTCACCCCATTTCCACCCCAAATGGGATCCTTGGCAGGGAATCTTTTCCCACCCCACTTTATCCCAAATTGTCAGGGTTTGTGAGGAGATTTTTGAGGTTTTTTTGGGGGGGTTGTGAGGATTATGCGGGGTTTTTAAGGGTTTTTTGGGAGGTTGTGAGCAGATTTTGGGGAGGGGATGTGAGGGGTTTTTGATGGGTTATGAAGGGTTTTTTGAGGGTTATGAGAGTTTTTTGAGGTGTTATGAAAGGTTTTTTGAGGGGTTATGAGGGTTTTTTGAGGGGTTATGAAAGGTTTTTTGGATCTGTTGTGAGGGTTTTTTTGAGGGGTTATGAGGGTTTTTTTGGGGGGTTATGAAAGGTTTTTTTGGAGTGTTGTGAGGTTTTTTGGGGGGTTATGAGGGGTTTTTGAGGGTTATGAGGGGTTTTTGAGGGGTTATGGAAGGCTTTTTTGAGGGTTATGCGAGTTTTTTTGAGGGGTTATGAGGGGTTTTTGGGGGGTTATGAAAGGTTTTTTGAGGGTAGGGGGTGTTATGAGGGTTTTTTTTGCGGGGTTATAAAGGTTTTTTGGGAGTTAGGAGCGGTTTTTAGTCCGGGAGCCCCGAGCTGGGGAAGGCTCCAGGCCGTGCCCAAGCCGACAGTGCCACCTGCTGCCACCAGGCTGGGGACAGCGACAGCGACAGCGAGGACCCGAGCGGGCCTTCCTCTGGGATCCCAAATTCCCAGCAAAGCCCTGACCCAAGCACGACAGCAGGTTTGTGTGGGCGAGGGGGCAACAACCCTCAAAAAAACCCTTCAAATATCCTCACGACCCCTAGAAAAAAATAAAACAAAATAACCTCAAAAAACTCCTCATAACCCCCCAAAAATCCCTTTAAAAACCCTTCATAATCTCCCTCAAAACCCTCTCACAATCCCCCAAAAATCCCTTCACAAACCCTCGTAATGCCCAAAAAACCCTCACAGCCCTCAAAAAACCTCACAACCCCACCAAAATTCTCCCCGCAAACCCCCAAAAATCTCTTCATAACTCCCCCAAAAATCTCCTCACAAACCCTCAAAAAATCTCCTCACAAACCCCCAAATATCTCCTCACAACCCCCCATAAAACCTCTCAAAAATCCCCCCGAAACGTTCCAGGCCTGAGAAGCAGAGAGAAGTCACAAACCCTCAAAAATTCTCCTCACAACAACCCAAAAATCTCCTCACAACCCCCTCAAAAATCCCCCCGAAACGTTCCAGGCCTGAGAAGCAGAGAGAAGCCGTGGAGAGCCCCGAAGTCAATCATATTTTTTATTAAATATACATCCTCTCTTGGCACAAATCTTAAAATATATAAACATTATATAACAAAGTGTCTTCACTGCAATAAAATAGAATCCAGATCCAAGAAAAGCCGTCAAAATCGACACGCGCACATCGATGGTGAGGGCACGGGGAAAGGCAATTAACAGTGTTTGTGCTAATTAATAGATGCATAGACCACACAGGCAGTGAGCGGTGCTGGGACACCCTGCAGCTCGTGGTGATTTTGGGGGAAAATGTGGGGAAAAAGGGGGGGAAAGGGGGAAAAGGGGGAGGGAAAAAGGGAAAGGAAAACTGGGAAAGGAAAAAAGAGAAGGAAGGGGAAAAGGGGAGGGAAAAAGGGGGGGAAGGAAAAAGGGGGGAAAGGAAAAGGGAAAAATGGGAGAAAAAGGGGGAAAACAGGGGGAAACTGAGGAGGAAAAGAAAGGGGGAAAGAAAAGGGGGGAAAGAAAAGG